ATTTTTTGCCAACATTCTCATTTTTAAGGATAATTCATCATTTTATCAAGGGTTGATCATGATTCATCAAGGATTGCTCAAGATTCATCAAAATTTAAAAGTTGCTAAATTAGGGTTTTGTAGGAAAAGTCAACTCAACTCTGACTGGGCATAACTTTCTCATACTTTATTAGAAATGACCCATCCAAATCTCATTTTTAAGAGGATGCAATTTCCTACAATCCATCTTCACACCCCAAGATCAATAAATGCTCTCACAAAAAGTTACAAATTTGGACATTATAGGTCATTTTTGAAAGTCAACAAAAACACCTTTTTTTCCAAAGCTTATAACTTGAGCATGGAATATAAAAATGAGATGATACCAAAATTGTTGGTTAGAGGACATCTCAAGGTTTCTACAAAGTCCAAGAACACCTCCAAAAGTTCAAAATTGAAGAAGTTATACATTGTTGAAGTTGGGCATTTTTCCAAAATTGCCAAAAGTCAACTATCCTCCAAACTCCAATTTTTGACAAAAGGGCCCACTTTTTTCCACTTGATTTGGTATTATCACACCATACACGTGCCCCATCTTCAATTTCATGACCAATCATTTATTTTTCTATTTTATTTAATTTTTATTGATTTAATTCATTTTAAATCAATATTAATTCAAATAAAATCTAAAAATTGATGGAATGATATCTTTGTGATTGGTATAGACTTCAATTATCATCATGAACCAAATCAAATTCGTATCAAGCTTTGTTATGCACAAAAAATTAGATTTGGTACAATTTTGGAAAGTTTATCAATGGTGATCATATCATATCTTGAATCTTCAATGCACAAAGATTGGAAGCCCAAGATTTAACCTAATTGCTTGCTTGATACATATACAACATAAAGCAACAAAGCACACGACCTAAAACTGCAAGAAACGGCCAGACAAAGTTTGAAAAAAGCTTGGAAAAAGTGGAAACTGAAATCACACTTAGGGCTCGTTTCAATCCAAAATCACAACGTGGTGTTCTTGCTTGCAACCTCCTGAAGCTATAGCAACCAGAATCAAGTCCTGAGACCACCAGAATCGCCCTGTAAGTCGTCACGAACATAGCCCTGCATATGGGGTCGTGAATCCATTTTCTTGCATCTTTTTGCCATTTTTTTGTACAATCGTGCTTAACATCAAATTTCCAACATGTCTGCATTATTCAATTTTGTTTTCATGGCCTATAACCTTAGATCCGAAGCTAGGGTTCTCGTTCTTGTTTTTTAGGCATTTTTGGTACAGGCAAAATCAAGACTAATAATGGGTATAGATATGATCAGGGAAGAGAGACGAATGCAGTGATGGTCTCCATTTGCATTTATATGGCCCGTAACTCATGTTAAGATGATGCTACGGATTTTGATACGGAACCAAATCCGCAGGAAACAAACCAGAGATTTATGGGGAAGATGAAGACGTGTCTTCTTCCCATTTGTCCATTCAAAACTTGCGCCATTTTTTTTATTTCCAGGCATAGCGTTATGTTTTCAATATAATATTCGTTATGTATTTCATTAGCAAACAAGCAGGTTGGTTGGATTGGTAAGTGCGTTGGCCAATGAGCAATGGGACTTGGGTTCGAATCCCAGGTCCCCCAAAACATTTATTTGATTTTTCTCCAGGTAATTGAGTGTGCTCTCCAAAGCGTTGAACCACCATATGCCTACAAGATCAACCTGCCAGATGGCCTCCAGGCCAGATCTGGTGGACAGGAATGAGGGTCTACCATACATCCAAGTCAACTAGCGCGTGGGCAATCTGGAAAGTCAATGCAGGCTGAACGTTATTGGGCCAAACAATGGTTCTTCACACCCTCCATCTGGGGCCCAAACCCCCTGAGTTTGCTTCTTTTTTATTTTTCTTTCATTATTTTCTTATTTTATTTATTGTTATTTGTTTTGTTATTTTTTTAATTACTAACCAAATAATAATTTTCTTCATAAAATCAGAAAACATAAAAAATATTATTTTTATTAATTTCACTATTTTATTTTGTAAATAAATATTAACATAATTTATTTAGTTTTAAATAGGTGTAACATTTAACATTTTTTGCAATAAATTAAAATCAATTTAGAATATTAGGTTTTTAATAATTTTAATCTATTTTATTTTATTTCCTCAAACTAAAAAATCCAAAAAAATATCTCTTTTTATTAATTAACTAAAAATTAGTTTAGGTTTAATTTCTTTTAATTCAAAAATAACAAAAATCTTTTCTTTAAATAAAAAGGGGTCAAAACCCTAAAAATGTTCCGATTTAATTTTCTTGCACGCGATTATTTTTATCCGATAATGTAATTGCTTCGGGAATGTAATAGCTTTTAATTAGGACTTTAATCATTTATCGCTTTTTTATTTATTTACTTTCTGCAATTTAAATTAAAGGGTTGCTTTTGGCGATGTAAATACCCGACGCCTTGTAATAGCTTAGATTTAATTTCCCGCAATTTAATTTCTGCATAATATACAATGTTAGATGTTTGATAATAGGGAATGCATGACAAGATCCGATGTATGAACTTAAAATCAACATAGCTCACCCATGACATGTACAGATAAAATTAACTGAAATAACACACTTGCACATGCCACTCTTAGGGTACACCTCACTTGGTTGCCTCGAACGTGGTCATTGAGTATAGGAAGTTTTAGAGGTCGCCCTCTTATCCAAAGATCATAGTTGCCTCGAAAAGGTTGCCTCGGAAAAATGATCTATGATATTAGGGTTACCGCTAAGGCGTACTAGCGTTGCTTTAGTGACCACATGTCCCTTAATCGAATTGACCCAAAAACTCCAACGACGGTGCTACCTACTCCTCAATAGTGGGATAACACTGTCTAAAGGACATTTGCACAATTTAATTCCTTTTTGAGTAGGTAGATGGTTCTTAAGTACTTGCTCCTTTTAAAACAAAACAAAACTTTTCGCACTTACACTCTCTTCAAAACAAAAAATCTTTTCAAACCCACAAACACAAAGAAAAGCAAACTTTTGAAAACACAATGAGCAAGTACCTAAGAGCCCGTGGATAACCACGGATAGAAAGGGTGCTAACACCTTCCCTTTCTATAATCTACCTCCCGAACCCGAGAAATATCTCAAAAAAGAATTTTTTCTGTGCTTTTGTCATTTCCTTGTTGGATAAAATAAAAGACGGTGGCGACTCTTGCTTACCGCGACATTTTGAGAAAACTAACGCAAACGCGAACCAGCATTCCAAAACAGTCAGTTCTATTCCCACCGATCACACTGGACTACAACTAATTTTTGTTTTCCAACTTGATGATATTTTTAAGTTTTGTTGAAGATAGTTCTCCTTCATACAGGCGCCCACAGTAGTTGATTCGCTTGAGCCATCTGTTATCTGCCTCTTTGCGGTGGGTGTTAGCAGATCAGGGTTATGCTTAGATGTTATTTCAAGATCCTGTAAGCATAAAATACAAATAAATAATAAAGATTAATGGCTTAATATTTTGATAACACGTAGAGTTATTGGATAGAATGATACCGTAAGAACTTCACACTCTTATGCAGCATCAGTGTTGGCTTCATCGATGCTCTCTTTAATCTGCATAACATAACCACACTATGAGGTATACCATGCATGTTCCATTTAACAATCTTATAAGAATTTGGATGAATGACATTTTATGTTGATTTGTGAGAATACCTACACTAGAAACAGTGTTCTGGACAATTGAGAATTTGTTCTCTTGGTGTCATAAACATATTTCCAATCAGCATCATCGTGGCAATAGTAAATGAATATTTGTTCATAAGTTGCTTAACTATTACTTGTGTATCTTCCCAGGGAGACTTCAATTGTTTTATGAACGATTCATCTTTATAGAGCATAACAACTGAGCAACTATCCCAGTCGGGTTTCCATTTAACTTTAAATGCCAGCTCCAAGTCCAACATTACATCAAGTGCTAATGAGAATTCTAATGGATCCGTTATTCCAACCTAGATAACCAAATGGTAGGTTCACATTGACATATGTATGTTATATCATTAATAGTAATTAGATAAAGTTGTAGTAACATATTAACTTGAATCATAGTGTCCCGCATCTGGGCAGAGGACAAACGCAAAAGATTTGTATATTCTTTGTACCATAATATGAATTTGCAAGGTACTCCCAGATGGAAGACTTCAATTTCGATATTATACCTATTAACATGGATGACAATTCATGTTAAGAAACATAAATGGATGACAAATATTATTAATAAAATACACAGGTATACCTGAAGATTTCTGCCTCAGTCAAATGCAGCTTTAGTGCATGCATGGAATGCTTGGTAATATCAGCCAAAGGAAGATGCAATAAGTTTCTTGGTTTTAGTGACTGTAGCATAGAAAGTATTATGCATGAACAAAGAAATATAATATTGTAAAGCATATGTTATATTGATTTGATTCAACAGATACATGTTTAATGAGTCAAAAAGCATACCACACACAATTTTTTCATCTCACTGAGAGGTAAAACCACAACATTAGAAAGCAATTTCTAAGATGGCATTTGTCTATTATTGTCACAATTCTATGTGCGGCTGCTACACTGAGATTAAGAGCTTAGTTGGCTGGAAATGCTATGCAAAGATTCCTTAGGGAAACTGTAACATGAAATCACAAAATAAAAACACGCCTGGAATCAAATTTACTATGATTTGGATATATCAGAGACATCATGGTCTCATTAAAGCTACCTGTCGATAAAGCTTTTGATTGATGGCAATTTTGCATTGATATAGAGCTTCATAATATGGAATGTGTTGGTAACCGAAAGTGGAAACTACCCTATATTTACAAATAATAAGGCAAGACGGATTATAGTATTGTATGATAATAATACATTGTATTCTTAAACAATAGAGGATTAAATTTCTAACCCTCTTCTTTAACTTTTGTATATTTAAGCATTACTACTATTGGCCCAGACGTATTTTCCCGACCCTAGTTAAACTTAAAGAAATGTGCAGCATAAGCCTCCCAAAGGGTGCAATTCATTGTGTTGTTGCTGAAAATTGTACAATAGACTGGTTAGATAGCATGAAATATATATGGGGCCAAATATAACAAATTTGAGAGATACAACACATACCTTGCATCCCGAAGGACGAAATTAGCATGTAATTTTTTCCTTCCACTATGTGGCTGGGTATATCCAATACTCTCGACCACACCAATAATGTCTGATTGAAATGGATGTATGTAAAACGTAAGACAGATTAATAATGAAAAAAATGAGTCATGTGTAATAGCTAGACATGTAATGTTACTGATTAGGACATATTTCTGAAACTTCCCGGTAATAATATCCATAAAACTGGTAAACCTATGTTGCTTGTGTGGTATGACGTGTTTGTCAAGATCAGAAACAAAAGTTCCTCCATTAAATTTCACCAAGTACTTATGTGTGGATGGTTTAAAGACAATTATTTGGCTGGACTTTGAAGTTTGATACAGTGTATGTGTGGTCCAATGCAAATTTGGCATCGTATGTCGCCATATATGTAGTTGGAACAACTACGTGTATATCAAACCCCTGATAAAGAAAAAAAAGATTACACCTAACTCAAAACCTAAGATCGAATGCAAAATTGTTAGACACGCATAATATGAAAACATTTCATGAAAACTGTAAAACTTTTCACAAAAATGGGATTTAACAAAGCAAAGGCAAAAATAATTTTAGGGACATATAAAGTTTAAACCTTTTTCATATGTCAAACTCAATATTTAACAAAACCTATCAACTTTATTCAAAACTGTTGATATTTTGACATCAAAAGATCAAAATATAAAATATGGATCTTTAACAATATATGGATCTTTAAACAAAATGCATGTTTAACAAACTAAAGAAAAATATAATTGTAACTACATTTAAACTTTAAACCTGGTCATAACATAACTTATCAATTATATGTGAGACTGGAAACTTCAACATCAGATGAATAAAATAAACACAAAATAAACAATAAACTATTACATAATGTAATGAGTGCATAATATGTCGAATACACTAAAAAAACACAAACTTTATAACGGTGAAACAAAAACATAAGTGTATCATATACAACCTAATATGTGGCAAAAAAACACATATTTTAGACTAATGTAAGAAAACAAATATTAAATATGTATATATTCAAACAGAAAATCATCAAACATGGTTTTGAAACTTACATCCTTGTCAATGAAAATCATCTCAAAGTATTCTTTTTTGTTGGAAAAAACACTTCATTTGTGCTCCACTCGAACCTCCACCTTCCACAACTCCTTAGTGTCATTGATGTCAGAGTTTTTTTCGAACGGTCTAGTCATGAGAGCAACGGTGAGACGGCGTAAGGAAAAAGATAAGCAAAATGGTTGATAATTTTAGTGGTAAAATGAAGGATGTTGAAGAGAGAAACAAAATAATCGAGTTGTATTGAAACTAACAAATATAACTTTGCAAGCATAGTAGGTTAGCTACTTCAGTCTGATTTTGCACAGTTGATGTGAAAGGAAGTAAAAAAAAATATTTTTGAACTCTTCTACGCATAAAGGAAAAGGAAGAGGAATAAACAAGTCAGTTAAAGAATAAGGCAGAGGAATAAGGAAGTTGGTTAAAGGAAAAGGATTGAAGCATAAAGATGGCATACACATGGCATGGTTAAAGAAATAGAGGGGCAAGTAGGGAATTTATAGATCAATAAATTTTCTTATATTATAGATATAAAGTGAAGCTATTTTGTCTTATTGAAGCTCAAATGTACGTACGCAAGGTTATTAAAATAAAGAAGTATGTCTAAGATACTTTTAAAATAGTTTTTAACAATTCTAAAAAAAAATATATTGGAGTACATGCTACAAGTGAAGATGTTTAGAACCTATGTGATATGGTGTGACAATGCAATATGGATAAAGGAAAACAAGCCCTTAAATTATTTTTGTCTAAAACCTCATTTTACTGAAACTTTACTTTATTTAGTTAAATATAGTGTCATACTCAAATTGAGTAAGTTATGCTTGATTTCTACATGATTAAAACCAAAAAAAATGTACCTAATTAGAAACAAAAATATGCATGATAAATGGTATATGATGACGTTATAACTTCTTTCGAAATGAAATTAAAAAAATGAGGAACAACAATGATGGAATGATGAATGAAATGAAAAAAAAAAATTTAGGGTATGACAAGTATAATGGATGTGAGGGGTGCTAATACCTCTCATTTGCATAACCGACTCTCAAATCCGTTTTTGGTTGTGACTACTATTTTTTCTTAGAGTGTTTTATCGATATTTTCCTTTTTCTTTTTTGGAATGAACATATTTTGGTGACAAATTAGTTGTATTTTGAGCGTTTCTTAAGTTGCAGTATTTTTTTCGTCGCGACACAAATTTATAAGAGCTTGAAGGCATAGCCCAGAACATAGTAATTGAGAGACATTGCCAACCATAAATGGGAAATTTGGTATGGGTTTAGTGGGAATTTTGAGATGTTGGGCTATACATGGTTGAAGGATATTACGAGTGATGTCTATGTCAATAAGAGTATTTAGTGATAAGCCATCAAGCACTCCTTTGAATCTTAAGGTTTTTGGGGTAAAATGGCCACTAACAGCTTGTGGTGAAAGTTGAAAGTATGTTTCTTCAAATTCATACTCGATTTCCACCACTTCAGAAAATTCATTAGTCTCTTGAGTTTCAATATGTTTATCATCATCTGACACGAGTAAGATAAATTTTCTTATTGCACATTTGTGTCCTATAATAAAATTCTCATCATAATTAAAGCATAAATCTTGAGCTCTGCATTCTTTTCTTTGGGATGAACTGATTCGTCATATAGGTAAACAACTTGGGATTGTATTTAAATTAGGTGTGGTTGTAGGTTTAGATGGTGTTATAGTGTTTGGGCTAGGGTGTAGAGTTTTTGGGTAATGTTGTTGGGTAGTAGAAGGGATAGGGTTTTGATTTGAGGGTCTAGTAAATTTAGATTTTGAATCTTTCAGCTTGATCTCAATCAGCTTGGGTAGTTCATGAGCTTGTGAAATAGAGTAAGGGTGCTTGATAGCTAATTCATTTTTAAATTTTGAGATTAAACCTTATATAAAGCAGTTAAGTATTACATCTTATGATAACCTTAATAGTATATTTCCAAAATTTTCAAAATTGGCTTGGTATTCTGAAACATAGCCATGTTGTCTTAGCTTAAAGAGTTGAGCATGATGGTTTTCAAAGGTTAAGGGCACAAAACGTAGTTCAAGAGATCTAGAAAACGTTTGTCAAACGATTAGTTGATGATTTTGAAACATCCACTTATATCATTCTAAGTCTTTCCCTTTCATATAAAAATCAGCCATAGGAAACCAACTTTCAAAAGGAATGTTATAAAAAGAAAAAAATTGTTCATCTTGAAATAGCCAATCTAAAGCATCAATCCCATAAAAAAATCGATAGTACAATTTTGAAGGGTTTTAAAAGATGGTCAAGGGGTATTGACATTATGTACAAAAGAGAGAAATATGTGATTTTGTTGAGTGTAATGTGGTTGAAATTGAGTGGGATCTGTAACTACTATTCAATTAGGATTTCTCCATTAGATTTAAAAATAAAATAAAAAAATAAATCAAATACAAATATAATTCTAAATGTTTATGCTCATTGATTCATCATTACACTTTAAATACTAGCTCATATTAAAAAGGGCCTAAACCATTGGGCCAAAGCCCACTTAAAGGGAATTGTAATAATACTTCATAAAATAACAATTAATAATAATAAGACCAAAATTTAATTAAGGATATGATCCTTCAACCAAAATGATTTTTTAATAAATCTTTTGGAACTATCGGTCTTTCTAATATAAAGACTCAATATATAGAGTATGAATGTGTTTAAACATGAGTTTCACCTTTTAGCCTTATCTATTACTATGAGGAATCCCAATTCACAATGAAGAATTCTCATTCATTCTAATTCATCAGTGTCTGAACTTAAGATTTATAATAAGATTCGATTTATTATTCAAAAAAGTAGGTATTTCAATTCCCATTCTGAATCTCGATTTGATAATCATGCTCATAAGCTAAAAGTTAATCAAAACTAAGTCTAAGGATAATTCATATACCATCTTATCTACATTGCATTCTCATAAACTATAAACACCAATATAAGGCATTAACACTGATGCAATCCAAAGTTTTCCATCTTTCTCTTCCACTTCACTGATGAACTTCAAGGTCTTCCCTTCACAATCTTCCAAGACTTCTAATATTTCCCCTTCATCACTCAACTTTATAGCTGTAGCATGAGGCTTCTTCGCTACCGATGCATGCAACTGCTTGAAATTTCCAAGCTTTAACAATGCTTTACCAGCCCATAGATTGGAAGAAACCCACTTGCCAAAAGGAGTTTCTTTGGCATGTAAAGCTACCCAGAACTGCCCTTCTGAATTTCTCCTTATATTGTCTGGAAAACCTGGAACAACAGCAAAAGTATCGACTTGGCCAGCATTAGGTCCGTGAAGCCAAAGCCTCAGAATCCTGTGAGTCGAGGTTTCAGCTACCAGAAGAAATGAACCATCTTTGCTTAAAGCAACACCATTGGGAAAAGCAAGGTCGCGTAATAAGACCTTTACTTCTTTTGTTGACTTGTCGTATTTCATTAACCGTCCAGTCTTGTCTCCAGTAAGAAGTATTACCATAAATTGCCTGCAAATAACATCATACTGGACATTAGAACACCAATAAGAACTATTTATTTAGGAAAAACGTGTAAGTGTACGAATCACATTTTGCCCAAAAACAACTTATTAATCCTTTCATGCTTATTTCGTAAGAAATTCTACGTACTCAATAGCAATGTTGTTTTACAAAATGCAGACAACGTTGATTATAGAGAGGGGGTTAAAGTTTAGTGGCAAACTTACCTTCTCTGGTAAGTCGTGCTTGAATCGGTGAAGTAAATCACATCTTCATCTTCACTGATGTCCATGTCATTGGTGAAGCGAAAGGGCTGTCCTTCAGCTTCTGTTGCTACTTTGGTGGCCAGACCCCCTGCAGGTCCTACTACTTTGAGGCCAAGGTAGGAATCAGCAATGTACAGATCTCCATTTTTCTTATCAAACTTTAGTCCTAGTGGCCTCCCACAAACATGCTCTAACTCTGGTGCAAATGGACGTACACAGTCCGACCTTGAAAATCATATAAACTAAACTCATCAGAGCCAAAAAATCTAATATAGTTATGAGTTAGATCTAATGTCATGACACACAATAATCAGCAAAACCTAACACTACTAGGCAGAGTTTCATTCGAAGCATAAGAGACTAACATAGTGATCAGTTTGTTAGAGCAACTCTCCATTTTTGCACAATTGAGAATAAGAAGGTTTGAAATATAAATAGTGCTTTGTAAGGAAAATAATATTCTCCTCCTTGCCCCTTATGTTCAAATTAGTTGGAAAAAATCATGTAGCTGCTACAACCTAGGGGTCTTCATATCATGGTACTTAATAAACTGCATATTTCATAATTAAACACTCAATAACTAATGATGTAACTTACCTTTCTTAGAGTGAATAATTAGCTCACAACGTTGATCCTAAAAGTGGTAATAACCACTATAAACTCATACACAACCGTGAATATCAAGATTCGAATCCAAGTGATGTCGTTAAACCTAGCAATATCGGTTTCTGCCAATTGAGATAGGATTTGTGGACGTTGGTCCTAACTCTTCACCGTCTTAAATTACAGCATGTGAAACATGAAGTAAAGAGTAAAGTTTAAGGGTGAACCATGTAATCTGCAGCCTAGAGTTAGAGACTAGATCTATTTAAGGGGTTGGTATTTCTCAATAGACACTATTCTATATCTACAACGGATCCCTTCACATGTTTAACCTATGAAGCACTAACACATATACACATACATCAGACACAACACCGACACATCAATAACAATAATAATTAACAATAATAATTTAAAAAATAATAAATTAAACGTAATCACATATATTGAATATCGGACACCATAAACACATTTATTAAAAAATATCAGCCATATATTTAGGAACCAAATAAATGCAAAGAGAATTCGTTTTCAATAACTCAACCTAGCCAAGTACTCTCAAATCATATCATGATCCAATTAGTACAATACAACTACTCTAAGTCAAAGCACTCAACTACCCTACTAAAATTCAAGTATCCAAAGTAAATAAATATTCACAAACTATAGCCCCAATAGTTTCTCCCAATTTAATGGCTAATACCTATTGGAACTTGTGACGGCAAATTCAGTCCAACCCCGTTCCTCTCCTTCCCATTTCAGAACCCGACCATCAGCAACACCGGTGTACGGTCCTTCACCGCGACTATCAAAAACAAGACTCTCCGGGCCGACGGCTCCGGTGACATGGAGTAACTGAGCAGCATGGAGGTGGTCCTTGGATCCAGGAATGGGAACCGGTGAAAAGAGGTTTCGTGGGATGAATAAGGTGAAGGTGATGGCGAAGAGTGCGAGGAAAATTGCGGCAATTACCATGGAGTTCATGATGAAGAAGATAAGCTGAGGAAAAGGAAAAGTGGTACCAAACTTCCAAGTTTCGAAGTGTGGAAGTGAAAGTGATAGTGTCGCTTGTGTTGTTACTGTTTTGATTTGAGAGCGTGATCAGCGTCCACGAGATGGTCCTACCGAGGAAAATTCGGTAACTTAACTTTATCAATACTCCTTCTAGTTCTACCCTTCATTTTTTTTTCTTGTTAAGTTATTTATTTTTAATAGGTAAGTTGTGCTCTGTTTTTTTTTCTTGGTTTTGTTTTATTAATTTCGTAATGATTATTTTATCGGTTAAAGGTAATAAATGCAATGTCGTAATTCAGACTCGCATCTTGAGATGCATATTATTGAATTTTTTTTGGTGGATTTTATGAAAACATTTTACATTTATGTGATTCATTCTTAAGGGATTGTATATATGGTTTGATTTATTGGTAGGTTTCAAGAAAATATTTATTTTTATGTGACTCATATTTGAAGGATTATGTACGTGTCTGATTTCTAAGACCCTGTTAGCAAGAGTGGAGTGGATTGGGTTACAACCTAGATCCAGTTGAGTATGTCATTAATGATAATCCGTCCAACAAAGTTGGATTGAGGTGAGGTAGTTAATGGGCTAGGTTGATCATGCTAGATTAAAACTAATACAAAGAGAATATTTTGATTAAGATACGAGAGATATCACATTTATGGTTGATTTAGAGCATTATAGTGATCGGGGATAATCACCTTAAATGGTCTCTAATGAGACTTCTAAGAGAAATATAAACAACGAATTAACAAGATAAACAATGAAGGACCAAAAACAAGTGAACATAGTAATAATCAAAACAACTATCTTGGTTAAACATTCATAAAATATTGTTAGTAAGCAACCGAAAAATATCCAGAAAATAGAACTAAACATAGTCTAAAATGATATGAAATGCAATTATGTTCATGCTAAGATGATGGAGAGAAATCTGAAGTAAACGAGATAATAAGTGGGGTAAGATTGGTAAAGTCAAAATCAAAACTCGAACCATTCTAAGCAGCAATGGCTTCCTTGATTGCACTAAGTTATCCACTTTTCTTATCTTGCTTTGGAGGCTTTCTCTTGAATGGCTTCTCTTTCCCAAACATCATCAATAACTTTCTCTTCACGCACAATGTAGCATTCTTCTCTAGTACGGGCTTCGACAACAACAATCTCAAGCCTAGAAATCTGACGCTCTTCCCTGCCCTGAGCATCAACTAAGATTCTGTTAACACATGCATCAACATATGTGTTAAACACCAGAGTTAAATTTGAATAAGGAGCAACAACAAACGAAGAAGTTAATTTCCATGACATATAACCTTCAAGTGCTTCCTCATGCAATTAATACTTATCATCATAGATTCTGCAGAAAGCTTCTTAATAATAATACTCATCTTTTTTATTATGGTAATAATGCATTAACTTCAGAATAATATCATCAAACTACTCAGGACCACTAAGAAGATCAACTTCATCAAACACAACTTTATTCCTTTTGAAAATGAGTTGGATGAAGAAGGTGTAGAAAAGAGGCATGGTCTTGTTGTTCTTTGTATATCATGATTTGTTAGATAATGAATTTAGTATCATCAGTTTGAGAGATGGAATAAGAGAATTATTCAGGTTCTGTCGAACGTTAGCCTAATCTTGTCCCTAATATATCTTCTTGATATTTCATTACGATATTGAGCTTTTATATTTTATTCCCACAAACCTTTGATACAAGATAATCGAGAGATTTTACATTGGCTTATCCCCAACAAAAAGCAAGCTTTTCCACAGGATGAATTTACGGCCTAGTAGAGATTTCTCAAACTGGCCTCAATAAATGAACATAACTTTTGCACGTCGAGTTCTATAACTAAACAAAGATATTTAATGATTGATATCAATAAAAAACTCAATTCTTCAAGAGTATTGCACTCTTGAAAATAACAACAGGGGAACGACAACAATACATCTCTTTTCTCACAAGTAGTTTTCACTCACAAGACACTAAGACAACTTCGATGAAAGAAAATATTTAAAGAGCGAGAAGAGAGATATAAATTATAAATAATTAGGAAAATTCCAAATTTTTGTGTGAAATAAAGTGAGGATAAGCCTCATTCATATATCAAAAAATTTAGCTCAAAATGCAAACAATTTATCGACCGAATTGATGGTCTAATCGATTAGGTGCATCAAATAATTGGTTATTATGGACCAAAAAGGAAGGTTTTGATATAAATTTCTTACCAATCATTATGAAATTTTAATAATCGATATGTAATCGATTAAGAATTATTTAATCGACTAGACAACTTGAAAAATTCTCCCAATTAAGCAAATAGTCCCTTAATCAACTAGCTATACCTTAAAAATACTTTTAGGTGGTTTTTTAAAGTAATGAGAGGCTTTATAAGTATTTTAAGTGTGTGTGTGCGTGCGTGCGCGTGTGTGTGTGTGTGTGTGTGTTTGAGTTGCCATAGTATCTTAAAAGTTAATATCCCACTTTCACAAGACTGTGGTCACTCAAGCAGACATGACCAGACAAGCTTTCATACTTCTCCACTTTCATAATTCTAAAGCTTTCTAATTCCTTTGTTAAATATATCAATCATATAAGCACTTTATTAGAACCTTTAATATTCTACTTGATGAGGCCTGGGATATTTTTAAGTTAATTATCATCATCAAAGAGTTGGATATATATCATCATTGACTTCATCATTCATTACTATTATCGTCATCAAAACATCAAGAAGGTTGTCAGCATCAAGATCATCATGATCATTAGCTTCATACCTAAAAGTACATAGATTCACATTGTACCCCTTTTTAATGATGAAAACGCATCTCTCAAAGAGGTAGTAATAGAGAAATGAAATAGATAAAATTTGGAGTTGTTAAACTTCCCCTCATATGAGTAGAGAGTATACTATACCCTCCCTGAGAATATACTTCTTCCCCATTTACATAATCATAAAGTCAAGAAACAAACATAGCACATATATCATATATCATCATTTAGAGAAAGGGAAGAGGAATAAGAAGAATAAGAGGCTCATAACATATTAATCCATGCAGGATTAATCTAATATTACATGCATGCTTTCTTTAGGGAAATTAACATATACCTCATCTTGGATGTACCTATTTAGAAAAGCACATTTTACATCTATTTGAATTTTTTTGAAAATTCATGATGCAGGAAAAAGCTAATAGCATCCTTATGGCCTTTAGTTTAGCTACACAGACATATGTTTCATCAAACAGAAAAGTTTGACATTATTTCTTAAAGCATTTCCATCTTTTTCCAACTTGTTGTGAAAGATCCAACGGGAGTCAATCACTTGATTAGCTAAAGCTTTAGGATCTATTTCCCAAATATTGTTTCGTTCAATTTTTTTTAACTTTTCTTGCATTGCAAGAGAACAATGTTCATCAATGATAGCCTCATCTATTCCTTTTGGCTCATTTTGTGAAACAAATGCCACAAAGGTACATACCTAATTAAGGGAGTGACGAGTAGTGACATCCTTAGAGATATCTCTAATAACATTCTGGATATGATGGTCTTTGGTTTTCACCCATTATCTTGGGAGATCTTGATGATCTGAAGGAGTATTTTCATATTGAATAGGTTCTTAATCTAAGACTTGATTTTAAATTTTATCTTGGTCTACTTCTTGATCATTTTCTTCCATATTTTCTTTTCCAAAATACATGCATAATAAATAATTTCTACTTATAATGATTTATGGTTAGTTTCATCAAAATTAACATGAACCGATTCTTCTACATTTATGTTTATTTTGTTAAATACTCTAAAATCTTTTATCAAAGTGGAATATCCTATGAATATGTCTTCATCGACTTTTGCGTCAAATTTTCTGAGGTTATCTTTTCTGTTGTTAAGGATAAAGCATTTTCATCCAAAAAGATGTAAGTGAGAAATATTTGGATTTCTTTCATTATATAGTTCATAGGGAATCCACTTTAGAATTTATGTTATCAAGACACAATATATAACTTAGGAAGCAGTGCTTACTACATTAAGAAAAAAATACTTAAGAAGATTTGTCTCATTGAGCATCATCCTTGCAAGCTCTTCTAGGGATGTATTTTTCCTCTTCACTACTCCATTTTTTTGGGAGTTTGTGAAATGGAAAAATTATGTCGAATACCATTCTTGTTACAATTTTTTTTGAATTTCTCATTTTGGAATTCTCTACCTTGTTCGCTTCTAATGGATGTAATGTTTACTCCATTTTCGTTCTAGATAACCTTGGATAGTTTTTGAAAAGCAATCACGTATATTTTTATGAGATAAGAACAATGTTTAGGTGTAGCGAGAGTAGTCATCCATAACTACAATGGCGTAGACATTTCTACCAAGACTTATAGTTCTATATGGGCCAAAAATGTCCAAGTGAAGCAGTTGTAAGGGCCGACCTATTGAAACAATATTATTTGCTTTAAAAGAGACTCTTACTTGTTTACCCTTTTGACATGCATCACATAACTTGTTCTTTTTTAAATGTAAGTCTGGTAGGTCGTCTACGAGATCCTTGCGTTACCCCTTTCCATTAGGGGGAGTTTTGTTTTCCCCCCTATTAATTTTTTTTTAGGTTCTCCCCTTATAAAACACAGATTCTATTTCCACACACCTCCTATTATGATGTTTTGTTGACTGGGCATAAAACCATCCTTGTTGGCATTTGTTGACTTGATGACTTGTATTAATTAAATTTATGTTAATGTTATATTAGGGTTCATGTTCACCCATACATTCTACAATGATTCCTTCTAGTTTTTCCTCATCTTTCCACCATCCGCGATTTTCTTCATCTTCTCACCCAAATTCTATTATTGCATACAAACGGTAGCATGGTTGGAAGCGGATCAGTTGGAAGAAGCAATAAAGGAAACAATACCTTTCCAGCTATACCCAGATGTGGCTGTGACCGTGCTATGAAGATGTGGGTATCGA